GGTGGGTCTCAGCCCATCCTCCGTGCCCTCGCCCAACCCCTCCCACCGCGGCCCCCAGTCCCGTCTGCCAGCAGTCCGGCTCCTGCCGCTGCCACTCCCATGCGCTTCGAGCAGGGCTGTTGTTGGCAGTGGGTGCGAAAGGCAGCTGCCGGCTCTGATCACCCCTCAGGAGCAGGGGGAGGTGGAGAAGCCCTGAGGGGTGATCGGGCCGGCAGTCGCCGCTTGAACTTGCTGACGGCACTGAGCTATCGGGGCCAGCGCTGGGCGCTGGCAGTGGGTGCAAGCGGTGGCTCCAGCGCCAGCAGCGGGTGCAAGCGGGGCTGACACTAGCAGCAAGTGCAAGCGCCAAGTGGGACCGTAAGGCACAAGAACAAAGAATTTTCAGTAACCACCAAAGGCTCCCCCCAATGACAGCAACTAGCACCCCACCTTGGTCTGGCGCCCCTGCTCACCTGCTCCACCATCCCACCATGGCCAATGACACCCGCCATGTTCTGCACTCTGCTGCCTGCTGCCAACACCTCCCATGTTCCACATGCACCCCCTGGTGGTCAGCACACGTCATAGTAACCGGTTGTTCAGTTGTTCCGCCGTATGGTCTATTTGCATATTAAGGTTTTATATATATAGATTTATTTACCCCTGAGGGGAATCTCTGTTCTCACTGTTGAGTCATACCTCAAATATCACTATTTTGGGCATTCTCTTTCTCATACATACAAACACACTTTCTTTACCCACTTTCTTCCTTTCTGTATTCAGGATCTTTTTCAGTTGCCTGAAGAACATCATGTATGGTCTATTTGCATATTAGGGTTTTATATATATAGATTTCTTTACCCCTGAGGGGAATCTCTGTTCTCACTGTTGAGTCATACCTCAAATATCACTATTTTGGGCATTCTCTTTCTCATACATACAAACACACTTTCTTTACCCACTTTCTTCCTTTCTGTATTCAGGATCTTTTTCAGTTGCCTGAAGAACATCAGCCACCTTTCTCTTTCTCATTTCCTCAATCCCTTTAGTTGTATTTCTAAGTGAAATAGCTGACAGGCATTACAGTAATATTATTCACTGAAATGCATATCAAGGAAAAGAAAAGCCTTTCTTTTCAGAAGACTAAAACCAGACACTTGACCTAGGGCCATCAATCTGTACAACGCTTAAAATGATCCAGAACTCCCCATAAAATCTATAAAAATCACCATCTAACTCTGTAATCTCTCTAATTACATCTGCATTTCTTCAAAAACTACCATTCAAAATAAGAATCACTGAATCAACTTTATTTCCTGCCAATTTAACCAATCGTTTGGCATTTTCATAGTTTTGTTTTCTTCTGTGTTTTCATTTTAAACATAAAACATATCAATTACACTAAAGCACTCCACCAGGTAAAGGAAGAGCCCCAAGCAAGCAGACTGGCTCTAACAGACTCAGCTGGCTGCCCATGGTAGGCAGTCGTCATCGCTTGTTACAGAGCTTCTGGGGAGAAACTGTTTCCTTCAACTCAGTCACTGAACAAGCACATAAGGATGTACCTGTGCATACAAAGAAAAAAGGTGCACAATTTGGAACATGTCTTTAGCAATATAAACACTTCTCATCACTTAGTACCTGTTCCTCTCTAACTTGGAACAGATTAAGGAACATTCCTTAATCTAGCCTTGACCGTCTTTGGTCCGAAAGGATTTTACTTACCTTACATTTTGCATGGCATCCAGATCTGGTCCAAAGTTCAGTGACAGCCACTAACCAGTTCCATTAAAGGTTTAAATCTTATATTTCTTCTGCTACTGGGTTTAACTGTGATTCTTTTTCATTACTACGGACTCTGAGTGAGCCGAGCTACTCTTGCTACATTAGTAGTAAGGGCTTCTCTGTCCCTTTTAATGAGGAAGAAGCTGACTTTATGTTTTTTTGTGACTTGGCAAAAACTGAGCAGGGATTTTTAAACTAAATCTCTACATATCAGAATTGTGAATCCCCTTAAATGTTTTTTTCCTCTGAGGGATTTTCTTGGCAGCTAACTTCTAATTTTGACCTGCTTTCCCTATAGGCAGAGAAATCCGTCAGCTTCTCCAATGGATCTTTACCCATTTGGTTGCCTTGATAAATTTTAAAAAGGCCTAAATATGTGTTTCTCATCTACCATTTTTATCAATGACCTCTTACACTTAAAGTAACCTTAGCCCTTTTCCCCAGAACATTTTGAAAAGTATTTAAACAAAAGACACTCTATGTTTGTTTTCTGTTGGGTGTGGAGGGTTGTGTGATGTCTGTCCACCACCCGCACCGCCCGTTCCCAGTTTACATGGCTCTAGAAACAGACTGTGATGTGAAATAGTTTGAGTACCTGGGTTAGAAAGGAGACCTGATGGGAAACTCCAGCAAGGCTCTCCCAAAGAATCTGTCCTCATAATTCACAGTTTTCCCCGGAGTCCTCAGGGGAACTGTCCGGCTGAGCAGCCTGGTTCAAACAATCCCTTCGCGGGCCCAAAATCCAGAGTCCTGCCACCAGGAGAGCAAGGTGACATCACGCTGTCAAGTACTCCCACCTGCTCATTTCTGATCTGTGGGCACTTTCTCTGAAATACACTGAGTGGCCAGATTATTATAACCACCCCATCAGTACTTCGTTGGGCCACCTTTTGCATTCAAACTGCGGGGGTTCTTCTTGGCATTGACTCCACGAGATGTTGAAAGGTGATGTGAGGAATCTGACACCATGCCTGATGAACAGCACTGTCTAGTTCTGTGAGATTTGATGGTTGTGGAACCAGCTGCCTGATGGCTCTTTTAACTTTGCCCCACAAATGCTTAATTGGATTGAGACCTGGTGATTGTGGGGGCCACCTAAGCAAGGTAAAGTCTCCCTCATGTTCTTGAAACCACTCCTGCACAATACGAGCACTGTGGCATGGCGCATTGTCTGGTTGGAAGAAGCCATCTCCATTGGGATACGCCATCAACATGATAGGATGAACCTGATCAGCAACGATACTTAGGTATGTTGTGCTATTCAGATGTTTATAATGATCTGGCCCTCTAGCAACTTCAGCGCGAAATTATAGCTAATTTGCCTACAAATGTCAGGTGGTCATAATAATCTGGCCACTCAGTGTAATGTATAGCTTAGAGGTGAGCCCGGGACCCCCTTGATGGGAGAGGGTCTCCACACCACAGATCCTTACAAGGCTATCAATTAAAATCCTAGGACATCAAGAAAAATATTTGCAAAAGGGGATTTGTCCCAAGTAAAGCCCTTCCTGTGTAGCCTGATGGCCACAATTGTGAGGGTCCTCAGTACTTTTAAGGGCTTTTTTGATAACAGCCAGAAAAGCCAAAGATCTGTTTTCTCATTGATTTTAGAGAGAGAGGAAGGGAGAGGGAGAGAGATTTTACTCTTTTTTACCACATGGTGAACCCAACTTTGGTCATCTGCTGCTGTTTTCAATCCAGTTCAGTATGTGACTGTGACATCCACTTCTCTGTGCCCCCTTAGGTACTAGTGTTCACCTAGGCCGAGGTCCCCCTGTGGCCAGTGGTTTTACAGCAGTGTGATGGAGCTTCCACAAAACACATGTATAGTGCATGTCTTCAAATATCTTTTAAATTATTTTTTAAACTACTGCTTAAAAATGCACACATGCAAAATTAAGTTAAATGGCAAATATTAACCCTGCAGAGACCATAAAACATTAACGTGGGCTGCCCTGATAATGGCTGGATTTTGCAGAGGCCTCTAACTGTTTCTGACACACTTGTGAATGTCACTGATGAAAAAGGTTGTAGCTCTGCACAGGCTTTTGAACTTCAGGCCTGCACATGTCTTTTCATGTAATTATACAAGCAACTACAGACTACAGTGCACACACACGCACGACTGCACTCAATTAAATGCCAGGCCTGGGCCTAAGAGCACCTGCCAGGCAAATGCTCAAGCACTGGTTGGGCAATCGTATGTGGCACCATCATAATAACATACTATAAACCATTTTACTTTTTAGTAGTCCCTCCACAATAATGTATAGTTATGGGGGGTGGGGGGGATTACACAATATCCTTGGTGACTCAACTTTGAAGCAGAAGGTTCTTCCTTCCCATTTTCCTAGATTCTAATTAATCTAAAGAATATCCTAAGATTGCAAGATGAGTTTTAGCAAAAAAACTGTTACTAATTGCAATTATTTACCTGTATGGATCAAGGTTTTCTTAATACTATGCAGCTAAAACAAGTGTAAAATCAACCAGGTGATGAGGCTGATGTACCAGCTATCAGCCATAAATCCTGAGTTCAAATTTTGGTGTTTACACAAACAGACTCAATTACCTCATAATGTGTAAATATTACAAAGCTGAACTTGTAAAATGAATTTATCTTTCTTTTTTTTAATCCTCACCCAAGAATCTGTTTTCTCATTGATTTTACAGAGAGAGGAAGGGAGAGGAAGAGAGAGAGAAACATTGATATGAGAGAGAAACATCTGTCGCCTCCTGTACGTACCCTGACCAGGGATGGAACACACAACCTGGGTATGTGCCCTGAGCAGGAATCAAACCTCGACCTTTTGGAGTATGAAATGACACCCAATTAACTGAGCCACACTGACCGGGGCTAAAATAAATTTATCTTAATGAACTAGTGCCATTGGCTATTTTATACATTGAGATTTTACTTAATTTTGATTAAAGAATTTTTAAAAGGGCCTATTATCTTGAAGTTTGAAAATAGCCTCCATGACGGGGACTACAGTTCCTGAGCGCAGAGCCCTTTTTTTGACTCTACGCTGAAGGAATGTGGCACAGCAGTTGAGGACTCTGAGCACTGGTTTCTGTTCTGCAAATTAGAGATACTAATGTTTGTTCCACTTACCTCACATGGTTGATATTAGGATCAGAAAAAAAAATGCAGGTAAAAGTCATAAAGGTTTTGAGCAGATTTTGACTTAACTGATCTGGTTTCTTATTCTCTTTTTAAAAGGTTCTCCACTTACCTGAGAAAACCCATGAAATTGGAAACCATGATGCCAGGGTCCAGGGAAAAAGCAAGGGCTCCTGGGAGATGTTGCCAATTTTCTGCAGGTGGGAGTGGTATTCAAACTCCTATAGAAGGAACAACAATGCTATTTTTAGCATGGTGCTTGGGAAAATTCTTCAGGCTACAATGAAACCAGAAGTGAGCAATGGAAGACATGAGGACACAAATTCCACTGACCAGTTATGGTTACCAGATTTCCCAGTTGAAGTCTAATTGTGTATGAACATGAGGTACCAAATTTACAGGACATTCAGCACAGTGACTAATCCACACAAGATGGCCAATAAATACCTATCAATGATGATCTCTGAGGACCCTAAGAAAAAAGATACCTACTAAGAAAAGCTCCAGGTGGCTAACTGGGCTCAAATTAAAAAAACAAATAAATAAACAACAACAACAAAACAGAGCCTAGCAGCCATTTCTACGCAGGAGCCTCTTATGCAAATTGCACTTCATGGAGAAGCCTGCATTGTGTTTCTGCCATCTGAGCCAGCCCTTAATGAAAGAATTCCTGAAATCTAATTTCAACCAATAGGACTGAGGCTTTCCCTATACAATCAGAGATGTGCAGCTTCAACAAACCAGAGAAGCTCTATGCTGATCAAGCAGGATAGAGCTTTTTGGACCGATCAAACTGTGAGGATTTGGAGTCCTCATTTGCATGAGAACAGACCAATCAGGGACCAGGAGCTGGGACTTCTGTCTGTATAAGCCAGCTCCCCTCTGGCTCTGAGAACGCACTTTTCCTGTCCACCTAGGACTGAAAATTGCATTTCCCTGGCTGAGCTGAACCACAAAGATGTCTCACTGGAAAAGAGTGGAGCAGAGCAGAGCATTGCGAAGCAGACCAGAATGGAGCACAGCAGACCAGGAGGAGAAGAGCAGACAAAGGACTGGCCCCACAGCTGCCTCACAGCCCTGCTGTTTGCACAGCCATATTGTATCACAATGGGGCTATTTTGTACTGAAAAAAGTTTCCTTTTTCATTGCATTCAAAATTGGGGATTCCTGTTGGCAGTGAATTGGCACCAACCACCATCAGTTGACACCACAGACTCCAAGCTCATAGCCAAACTGGCATTAGGCAAACCTGCATTGAAAATTTAGCCCCATCTATTGAAGGCTACTTAACCACAGGAAAGTCATTCTGCCTCTGTGTTTTGGTTTCCCCAGTGTACAACTGCCCTTCTTGTGCTCCTCGATGTAACTGTTTCCTTTGAGTGAGAGGTGACAGCAAGGGGTGGGGGCTGTGGTTGAGGGTGGGGCTGGGACCAGAGTTAACCTCAGAAGTGGGTAAAAATACTAACAAACAAAGAAATTACATACGGACACATGCTACAACATAGGTGAACTTTGAAAACATCATCTGAAGTAAAAGAAGCCAGCCACAAAGATCATATGTTGTGATTCCATTTGTAGCAATTGTCCAGAATAAGCATATCTACAGAGACAGAAAGTACATTAGTGGTTGCCACCATCTGGTGGTTGGATGGGGCTCATGGGAGGGTACAATGTTTCCTCCTGGGGTGACAAAAATGTTTTAATATTAGATTGTGGTGATGGCTGCACAGCCCTGTGAATATATTAAAAGCCACTGAATTATACACTTTTAAGTTGGTGAAGTATGGTATATGAATTATACCTCAATAAAACGTTTAAAATGCTGCCTAAAAACTACTCAAAGTAGTTGTGACAATTAAGTGAGTGGACATTGGCCCAGTGCCTGGCACAGAGTTACACTCAATAAAAAGTAGCTCTGATGATACTCATGCAAGAAGAGGTGAAGCAACACTGAAAATGTGTTATCACAGTAACATCAGGAAGCTAACACTCCCTCCCCTACTTTATTCAGAATCCTTCACTAAACAGAATTTCTAAACATTTCAAGTGATCCAACAGTTTCAAACTTTATGAAAGCCCAGGATGGGAGGTTTGGTTGAAATGTGATGGAAGTTGGGAAGTAAAATCATGGCCCAGCCTCCTCTCCTCCCACACCTCTTTTCAGAGAAAGACAAATAAATGAGCAAGATTTCCAGGTGTGCTAAGGAGTCCTCTCTAATAAAGCCAGTTTTCCAAAATCACTGGTTTCCAAATTCTTCCTAGGACTTGACATTTCCTTTTCACAAGAAAGGGAGGATGAGAAGGTAAGTTATAAGCACTTAAGAAAAGACAGTCGTGAGAATCAGAAAATTCCATTTACAGGAGAAAATAATGAAGGTTTTAAAAGTTACCACCAGTCCTTTCTGAGGGTTAATAAGAAAGTAGAGCCTCTTAACCATAATCACCCCTAATTAGCCATCAGCAACTGATGAAATTACTCATGGTCCTGAAGACCCTTAAATTCTTGGGTCTCAGCCAGAAGTTGAGATCCACCAGGAAGAAAGCCAACAAGTGCAAAATGGAACAGTTAAAACTTCTCTGAATCCGGTCTTGCTCTTGGCTGGGGAGCATGTATGTGCAAAGACAGGATTTAACTTGGGAGTCAGATGAAATCTTTGTCACCCTCCTGATGACAATCAACTAATCAGTAATATTTACTCAGTATGTGGAGTCCTCAGGTCCTCTCCAAGGGATTAAAGAGAAGAATGAGTCAATGCAGGGTCTCACTTCACAATCTAGCTTAGGTGGGTGAGATTTAGGGAATGGAATTATCTGGGGGAAAATGATGTTATTCAGAACAGCATAGAATAAATGTTGTTATATGGAGACCCTGAGTACTAATCAAGCTAGTTCAACACAAGGAGACTCACTGTAGAGGGCTGGTGGGGCATCAGCAAGGATGGTGGGACTTAAGATCAGCCCTTAGCCTATGCAGGTTACCAGTGAACAACTTAGAGCAGTTGGTAAGTGTGCACACTGCAATCTGAAAGACCTGGGTCTGAGACGAGCACCCCCACTTATTAACCCGGTGACCTTTGGCAGTTAACCCTTTGTCTTTCAATTTCTTCATCTGTAAAATGGAGATACTGTTTGGAACTACTTCATAGAGTTGTTGTATTAATTATTTTTTGAGACTGCAACACACACACACACACACACACACACACACACACACAGCAGGCATGGTCCCTGCCTTCACAAGGAACTTATAGTCTAGATACTAGAGGGCTATATACTTTAAACAAACTGAAACATTAAGTATAAAAATGAAATTGTGATAAGAGCCTCAGAAAGTATACTGGGCAGTGGTCAGAGAAGGACTCTCTGAGGAAGTGACCTTCACGCTGGGGCTTCAGTGGCGAGGAGTCAGCCAGGCGAAGGGGCTGGGGGCCGTCCAGTGAGAGGGGATCTTGAGTGTAAACTCCTGTGAGGACTGGGAGGAAGACGGAGCCCAGGTGGTGGGAACTTGGCAATCCAAGGAGAATGCGGGAAGATCTGACCCCATATTTACCAGACTATGGTAAATAAATGGTTGAGGGACAAGGGAAAGAGAGGTGTCAAAGATGACTCTCTCCACATTTCTGATGGACGGAGGCAGCCAAAGGAGGTGCCAACAGAGCTTTTCGGTTTTGACAGGAAAGGAAGGGCAATGTTAAGGGTAGAGGGTGTGATATAAAGCAATGTTTCCCAAATCTGACCAGAAGTCAACCAGAAAAACATCTTAAATTACCAAAACAATTTGAAAACTGATTTACAACTGCTGCTGAAACCCATGAACCTTGTCCTCTGTCTGTATTTTGCCTTCAGATATTTGCTGATAATAAAATGAAGCTATCATGAGTAACATGTCAGTATGAAATATGGTCTCTTTCATCTTTAGCTCATCCTTTTAAAATTTATGTTTTGAATGTATGTTTTATATGCTCACATAATACATTGATAGGTTAAAAAATAACCAAACATACATTAGAGTTATACACTCAAACATATTTTTTTTGTTAATCCTCTTCTGAGGATATTTTTCCATTTATTTTTAGAGAGAGAGGAAGGGAGAGAGAAAGACAGAGAGAGAAAAACATCTGTGAGAGAAACACATTGATTGGTTGCCTTCACACATGCCCCGACCAGGACCAGGGGTCGAGCCTGCAACCCAGGTACATGCTCTTGACCAGTATCAAACCCTGGGCCTTTCAGTCCACAGGCTGATGCTCTTTCCACTGAGCCAAACCAGCTAGGGCTACATGCAAACATTTCACTGATGGGGTGTGCAATCAAAAAGAAATTGGGGCGGCCACTGCTCTAGAATATTTTGGGACCAACTTTTTGTCAGATTTGATGAGTCCATCTTTTCTCCTGACACAATTGTCCCTGGAGAGTTCCTACCAGCTCTGCCATGTCCTCCGTGTTCACTGTGCCTCCGTGATTAGCACTATGTTAAGCTGGCTCTGCTTCTCAGACTGTGGGTCACCACCCATTAGTCTACCATGAAATCAACCTTGTGGGTCACACTTTTTTTAATGAAATAGAAAAGATTGAAAAAAAGAGCAAACACCAGTGTTTACCACACATAGTAAGGGTGAGTATTTCTTACTGTGGCTGTCAGAAAGGTTAAAGCCCTGGCTCTGGAACCCAGAAGGCAGTGAAGGATTCTGTGGCCTGGGGAATAAAATTGTGAAGAAAGGAGAAGCCCTCCCCAAGCCCCCGAAAGGTGGCCCGAGGAGAAGTTAGGACAGATGGGCAAGAAAGAGCCACTGTAGGTTCTGGAGCAGGGAGGGACCTGGTGAAAGTGAGGTCTCCCGAAAATCCGCCAGGCAGCGTTGCCTGGAGCCGACCAAGGGGACTGAGTCAACAAGCCATCTATGGCGCCTAGCCGCCTTTGGAGGTTTGCTCCTGCTGATTTATAACCCTTCTTGACAGTGAACAAAACATCTAACAATCTAGTTTCTGTTACAGCATATGCTCGCTCGGGGGGTGGAGGCCCCACCTTCTCTCCTTTCCACAGGATCCTACAGGAAGGCTGACCAGTCACCTGATTTGGTTTAAGACAACGTCGCAGTCCCCACACACTGGGTGGAAGTGGCAGGAAGGTTCGAGGCTCACGACAGCAGGGACAGAGAGAGGGGCCACCACAGATCCAGCCCAGGGCAGACAGTGGCTCCCTGGCCCCAGAAGATGCCA